GGCACATCGGTAGGTTGGGGGGGGCTGGCGCCTGTGGGAAGGCCGCGGGGTTTGGCCACCCCGCCGAGCCACGGCCGGTGCGGGCTGGAGGGGGAACCACAGCACCCCGATCGCCCTCCTTCCCCACTTCCTTTCTGTTTTGCAGAGCTGGGAGGTTACGGAGGTCTTCCGCTCCCTTTCTTAATCTTGCTGGGCTTGCGTGTTTTGAAGAATTAATGTAGTGCTGGCTTTGCTGCTCTCTAGCTCATGAAAAGCAGTGGGTTGTCATTATCCGTAGTTCTTACCAACAGTTGTGACCTGAGGTCCTGGCAAATGAGCATAACTTCAGCTGTGCTTTCTGCAGCCATAATGGTGTAGTCTGAGCCAAAATATCTTTTCTGCACACGTAAGGGAACATTCTCCAAGTTCTTGGACTAGTCCCGGGCACTTGGTTTCTAGTGCCCTGTGCAGGGCAGGGTGAGAGATAGGCCTCCCCGTTGTTATCTTTCTTGTGCAAGCTTCTCGGATTAGTGAGAACTTGTAGCTGTTGGTATCTTCCAAATGCAACCGGTTTTACCTGGTGTGCTGGTCAGAAAAAGCAGCTACGCAGCCAATGAGGTACTACGCAGGAGTTTCTTCCTGAAGCGCTGGCCTCAGTAGAACTGTGACTGAGGTTCTGGCAATGAGGAAGAAAATTAGGCTGAAAGGAGAATTGGGTTCATTAGGGAAACCACGGCTGAGCTTTCTGCCTGGGTGATCGTACCAGGCTTAATTGTTGGTTGAGGAAATGCAGTTGATGGAGCTCCCCTGGTGCTGCTTAGGTGACCTGAGTGGCTCGGGTGAATGAAGTAATCGAGGAGGAAGGGGGCAATCTGCTGTCCCCATGGGTGTGTAGGGTGGCAAGTGGCTGAATGTTGTTCTGACTTGGGAAGCAGATCTGGTGTCAAGGTGAGACCTGCCTGAAAGTTGCCATCTGGCTGGCTTGCTGTGTTTAAGGAGGACGGGAGGCACTCACAGCCCTGGTGGTGGTTCAGTTGCGATGGAAAGTCCTTAGACTTAGGCAGTTGGCAAAGTTCTCCCATGTTTTTTTTTTTCCTGTTGTCACTATTTTATTTGTTTTGTGTGTAAATGCATATGACAGATTCCAGCCCTGATGGGAGAATGACTGTTTTGTATGGACACTGGCCATTGATGTGGCTTTTGTCCTTGACAGCTGATACTGGAGCCTGCTCAGTGGCCCTTTGAGCTGACTCTTCAGTCATCTGTGGGTGTATTTTAAACTTAGGTTCCCATGGGCATTCCTGTTTGTTGGTTTGTGCGTGCTTTATTTAGTGTGAGAAAATACTGTGCCCTTTCACTCAGAGAATTGTCGTCTTGTGTGTGGCATGAGACGCACTGGCTGTTGGTGGTGGACATTTGTGCACATAGATCGAGAGGACGTTCTGCCCAGAGTTGAAGGGTTTTCTCATCTTGGTTGGATGAGGTAGCATCAACCTGCAGAAAGGTTTTAAACCCATCTTTCTTCTTAATTTTGGAACTTGTTAAGGGAGAGAGAAAAGGAAGTTAAATTTATCAGTCCACCAAAAAAACAAGAGGCACAACAGATTTCCTAGGACCTCAGTAAATCAGTTCTGTATAGCCTGGCCCCAACTGGCTTTGTAGCTGTAGCCACATGAATATGCCATTACTGTGTTATAGTTCTTTTTGTGTATGCAGCTACACTTGTGCTTCCATTTGGAGCTTTGCCTTGTGTTCCTCTGGCTTCACAGCAGCAGTAATACAAGCAAAATGTATTCCCATTACTGGCCTTTCTTTCCTTCCTGACTTGAGAGAAGCAATGGCACTAATATAGTTTATTTTATGATTCCGTGCTGTCTATCCCGATTATGCCAGTACTACTTCTCCTTGAGTCAAGCCAAGGTGAAGCTTTCCAAATCCCCATTTTCCCTGCAGATGGCAGGAGACCATTGCTTGCTCTGTCCTTGGATCAAAATCGCTATGACCTGTCGGACAATTCAGCATTTTTTTTCCGGCCTAGCTACAATGGCACCTTATACTGCTGATTTTCAGAATTCGTTTCCCAGATTGTTAGCTGGCAGTTCTTAGCACAGATACTATTTTAATTTAGATCTGTATTCTGATAAGTGAGTGGCAACATATCTTGGATACCAGCTACTCGCAACTAGGTTCTTTACCCCAGTGTATCCCAGCTGCAAGAGCATCCTTAAAGCTGCTGGCAGTGTGTATGCTAGAGGGAAGTTGACTGTATGACAGCCACTTCATCTCTGGTGGCCACCTGACTTGGTGTCTTGTTTACCACTTCATGTAGAGCTAATAAAATGAGAAGTTGCTGTGCTGATTGAGGGAGATAACTAATTCCCTGTGTCCAGCGAGCTCTGAAATTCTGCAGCACAGATCAAGAGACTCAGGCTTCAATTGACTTAAAGACCCATCATTTCAACTACAAGGGTTTATCTCTTTTTATGCTTTTGAGAGGCTGTGTGACTTGCGGTATGCTTTACAGAAGGGAAGGAGGTATGGACTGAGGCAGAAATAGCTTGGGTAGATGAACCCATGGTGCCAGGTTTGTGTTGATGTTTTTTTGGTGACATGAAGAGACTGGTTCTGTAAGATGCTAGGGGGGGGAGATCTCACAGATTCCCAAACATTGGTAAGTTTCTGTGAAATTCCTCAGCTGTGTGAGGAGGAGCCACACGCCTTTCCACAGCCAGGCCAAGCTGGAGCAGAGTTTCAACCAGGCATCTGTAGCACAGACACGTGGGCATTAAGGACCATATGTTTCAATGACATCTTGGATATCTAGTGTGAAATGACTAAAATGTCAAGGAAATTGCTAGGTCTGTGATTCTTAATGCACAAAGATAGGAGTTTAGAAACCTGAAGCTTCATCTAGGAGGAGAATGAGAACTTGTGCCCTGGGGACTGCAACATTGTTTGCTCAAGCAGAGGAAAGAAGAAAATAGCTGAGTGGGTGGGATTTTCCTTGAGATGTGGGGGAGGAAAAGACAGCGAGAGTCTGGCTGCTTCTGCAGCTCAATCAAAGAGCTCTGCACAGACTTACCTGTTGGTTTTCATATGAGTTAGGAAGCTTAGTGGAAGTGTGCAAAGGCAGCCAGATCTGTACGATTATTGGGATAGAGGGGAATAGGAGACATCTGAAGAGGAACGTAGATGAGGGGGGCGTAAGGAGGAAGCAGCAGCTGAGGTGGTGGTATGGCAGGCAGGAGGAGCACATCACTTACATCCCCAGAAGAGGTGACTCTCTTTACAGATAGCTGCTGTGGTGAGCCTGTTCATTTCATTCTCACTCCTTTATATAATCTGTGTTCTGAATGAGTAGATACCGACTGTGTAGGCTCTGTGGCTTTTCTTCTGGCATATGTTCTGGTTTTTGTGGGCTGCGTCAATCCTTGCTGTTAGATTTTTATTTTTTTATCTCAATCCTGACAGTAAACTGTAATTTAGTGAATAGTGCTGCTGAAACTGAAATGCCTTATGAGGATACCAGTTTCCTGAACACCTAGAACAACAGCAGCAAAAAAAATTACCTAGTTTGCTTTGGGTCCATGAACTTTCAAAGATTTATTTATTTTTTTTAGGCTTGAGAATAGTACGTGACACTTTGTGGGGTGTGAAGGCTTAAAGTGGTATCTGATCCTTAGCACTCCTCATGAATAGCACGCAGGTTCTTGCCTGCTCCATGAAACCCATGAGCCTGATGAAACCCGTGGAGGCAGGATGTGTTTTGTTCCATCTTGAACCTGCTAGTTTCAGGGGGTCATATAATGAAATGAGATTGTGACAGGTGGAGGTTGAGGTTGTGGTGAAGCCTAGCACCTCATCAACAGCAATACCTTTATAGCACCTCTCCTATGGATTTGATGTCTAGTGATACTCTTGCATCTTACACCTCTCGTGTTTCTACTTGCGAGATTTGTCCACACCAATGGAGAGATCTAACTTTTCTCTCTCCTTTTCTTCCTTTTCCAGGGAAGCTAGCAAACAACAGGCTACAGGGAGCAGCATTGTGGGACAACCCTTTTCAACAGAGGAAGAAATTGCTGTGCTCAGGTCCTTACCTTTCAGCAGTGATTCTGTGATGCAAGTTCCAGGAGTTTCTCTTTCTTGATAATCTTCTCTATGGGCTCTTCTTGCTGACATTTGCCCCAGTGTTGGGCACAAAGAGGAAGGATGCTGAAGAACGGGTATCCCCTGTTTGGCTTTTAGAACATGGGCACTTGTGTAAAGGTATGTGATTG